ATTTTCGCACCGGGGCCCCATGGGTCATGTGTACGCCACTGTTTATGTGCATACAGGTAATGTGGGCCTGGGACTCCCTGAGTAGTCTGTGCCTCCCCAGGACCACTGGTTGTTATGCCCTGATTGCCAGTGTCATCAAGCTTTGCACTTCAGCGTCAAGAATGCACAAGCAACCTATACCCTTAATGGAAGCGAATTAGGGATAACAACACACGAGAAGGACTTGGGAATTGTTATAGACAACAAACTATGCAACAATGTGAAAATGCTGTGCAATTTTGGGCACCTGTTCTAAAGAAGGATATCATGGCACTAGAAAAAGTGCAGAGACGAGCTACAAAATTGATAAAAGGAATGGAGCATTTTAGTTACGAAGAAAGATTTAAAAATGTAAATCTCTTTAGTTTGGAAAAACAGCACCTCAGAGGGGATATGATAACATTATGCAAATATACAGTACAGTCCGGGTGCTAAAAGGTACTTATTAAAACCAGTGCTTATTTAAACCAGTGTGTATAAATATGCTTCACACTCAGGTGTAATCCCCAAATTCACCAATAAAGAATAATAAGCAACAGTGAGTGGAGCAAAATCGAACACAGTATTAGGAAATTAAATTGGGAAATTGTATGCAAACGTATTAGGTATTTGATGATTTCTTCCAATAGACAATGGAACATGTAAGAGAAAAAATACAAAAAATACAGTGATTGTGCAGATTGTACTAAACTGACATTAATTTGTCAATTAACATATGTTGTATAATTCTATTTGTGCACAATCTTAATTGTGGATAACCTTAAATGCAGATAATCAATAACTTAAATATAAAATGTAAACAAAGTTAAACAATGTATTATCTGTAGTGATGTCCCGAACGGTTCGCTGGCGAATAGTTCCTGGCGAACATCGCTTGTTCGCGTTCACCACGGATGGCGAACATATGCGCTGTTTGGTCCGTCCCCTATTCGTCATCATTGAGTAAACTTTGACCCTGTACCTCACAGTCAGCAGACACATTCCAGCCAATCAGCAGCAGACCCTCCCTCCCAGACCCTCCCACCTCCTGGACAGCATCCATTTTACATTCATTGTGAAGCTGCACTCTTAGTGAGAGGAGGGACAGTGTAGCTGCTGCTGATTTGATAGGAAAATTGATAGATAGGCTAGTGTATTCAGTGACCACTACAGTCCTGAAGGACTCATCTGATCTCTCTGACCTCACTACCCCCCACACCCTCAGCCTCAGTACCCCCCACACCACCCCCAGCCTCACTACCCCCCACACCACCCTCAGCCTCACTACCTCCCACACCCTCAGCCTCACTGCCTCCACACCCCTCCAG